AACTAGTATCTTGTATTAAATACGAATTACCTCAATTATCAACAGGTGTATATTGGATTAATTGCTTACGCGGAAGATGCTATATTGGACAGACGGGATTTAACATCAACGTAAGAATAAAAGAACACCAAAGAAATATGAAATCTCAAACACAACTGTCGACAGTGACAGGACATGCTTGCCAACAAGGCCACTCAATTGATTTTGATAACGTTTAAGTGTTATGTAAAACTATTTATTACTGGCTAAGACTAATAAGAGAATCAATTGAAATTGAGAGAAATACAAATAATTTTAATCGCTCTGACAGCTACAGGCTAAGTGCGGCCTGGAAGTGTATTATTAAATAATACATATTACAATTCCTTATAGGGGGAAACACATACTAATTAACTGACTAACCAAGTATATAATTACAATAACCCCCCCCTCCTCCACCTCTGATTTCTGCACCAGATTGGGTATAGTGATTGGGTTCAATTATTAAATAATATACATTACAACTCCTTATAGAGGAATCCTAATTAACTGATTACTAATCTATTATACAATGACAATACCCCCCCCTCCGCCTCTGATCTCTGCACCTAATTGGGTTAAATGATGACGGCACCCTACTGCTCTATTTAAGGCCGGAAGCAGGTGGAGGGCTTCACTATTCTGGCAAATTGCCAGATGATGCTGGATATAATTACTAGGGAAAGGTCGTACTCAAAAATTGTAAATGTTGTGGATTCACTCAACACACCGGTAGGCTGAAGTAGTGAACTATTTGTCATTTTGTTTACGTGACAAATCCCTTTCTGATTGGCCTTGTCGAGTGGTAGAGGGTTTGGACACATTTATACTTCCGCGACCACAGACACTTGCTTGTTTTGTCCCTTTGAGTGTGATATAATTGGTCTTAGCCTGACATTACTTTATAAATCTTACATGATGATAATGGAAGGTTTCTCTGCAAGCCGACTGCACATCCCAGCTGCTGGCTGTACTAACACACATTACATGAAGGTGATTTTTTATTTATAGTGCAGTGTATTTTGCCTGCATAGATAATGCCCCACATTTGATGTGAAGTAATCAGACAAAGACAAACTACACAAGAATCAAATACAATAACAGTGGTAAGTGTTGCAGGCCAGTCCTGCATGGCTGGACGCTGGTAATATCACAATCTGGACATGGATTCCATTGCTTAGCTGGATTATCAGGAGCAAGTGAAGGTTTACTGAGATTCTTAGTGAGCGGCCATCTTTAGTTTATTTGGGACAGGTTGAGAAGAAATGTGTGATTAGGTCCATGTAACAAGTGTAGTTTACTAAGGTACAATACATGAGGACAGAGGATTTGCTCGGGAAGTGTTTTTTCAGGTCATTAATTGTAAAATGTATCTCCCTATGAAGGGGTTCAAGATTCAAATGTGGAAGGTAGCTCTGGTTATTACTGTGGCTGCAGTAACCTGTAAAATATGCACCATCTGCTTCACAGTGGATGTTAAAATGCCTCTGATGTCATTAAAAAAATATAAGCCATTCCATGCAAATCTAATTATTAACATTTACGAAATGTGAACAAGTATCCAAAAGCTGAGGTCAATCATCGCCCAGTACTGGCAGACAAACGTCCACTTACAGACCGCTGCCGAGTCAACTCATGCGCCACAGGGACAGTTACACCATGGAAGTGGCCGTCGACTGTTTGAGATATGATGCAAGCGCACTTGAGTTGCTTAGGCAATTAAGCGCCATATAAATACAAATATTATTAGTGTAGAGGAATGAAATACGTGGTGCGCACAGTTCGCCGAAGGCAAGAAAGAGCAAACGGGTGCGCGGGTGCCAACGTTAGGTTTGCACGGACAAACTGCCAGTTGTTAAGGTGCAAAGCAGGTGCAAACGGGCTTGACCGGTGATGCATATCAAGACCGGAGGTGTTGCCAGGGAGACGGGAGATGAGGGATGATTGATGGGCAAACAGGCGCCAGCCTGGCTGAGCTTAAAGAGACACATGAGAGGTCTCAGATAATTGGCAGGATATGATGGCGTGAGCGGACCAGAGAGTTGTTACTGGAAACAAGAGTGAAGACATCTCGCCACTGCTGCTCAACCTGTCAACGGACCTCAACCTTCACGCGTCGCCGGGTGGGTGTTGGCTAATCCCTGCGCCCGGGACAGACGGGTGAGCGGGTCTGAGGGAACGTAGGTGAGGAAAGTGGTGGAGATGTAGAGCTGCTGTGGGTGAAGCTGCTGTGTGCGGAGGTGCTGTGTGCGGAGACGCTGTGTGCGGAGACGCTGTGTGCGGAGACGCTGTGTGCGGAGTCACTGAGAGCAGAGCTGCCGAGTGCAGGATAAGCGAGGTATATCGTAGAGACGAGTGGAATAAGTTAGATATAAGTGACCGGACAGATAGTTATAGGAGTGCCTACAACTGGTGCAAGAATAGGCGAATAAAGTGTAAGCAGGTGACTTGTTACGTGTCGTAATTTTTGAAGACACTACATTAGTATCCCAAGATGCATGCTATGGAGCTTGCGTGCCTCACGCTCCTGGATACAGGTTCTACGCAACACGTATGGTCACATACTGGCCGCTCCTACTCTACATTATATAAAAAAAAATTAACCCAAACCTCCAAATCCCAAAACAGTCTGATTTGTCCTGGGCTCCCTCAGTCAAACCTCTCCTCCCGCTTTCAGCTGCCTTCATCGACGACCTGGAGGTCAAACCCTGGAGTCTTCATGCCACCTTTCCTTCTGGCCATTTATCCAAGCTAGAAATGTATTTTGGTTCTTGCTTATTTTGGCACTTTGAATTTCACACCTCGAATGCAGACTCTGCTCCTTATGGATCTACTTATCCGCGTTTCGGTTTCAAAACACTTCAAAGGCCTTCAAACACAGTGTACAGGTTTTCTTAATGTTTTCTGGCGGTTGTCAAGATTTGATGACCGTGTAAACGTCTTACTACACGCAGTGCAAGTGAGGGGCTTCTCTTCTGTGCGTGTTCTCAGGTTTCGGTCAAGATTTGATAATCGTGCAAATTAATTCTAAAACTCAGTGCACAGTCGTCACCTCCCGTCGATGGGGTGAGTTCTGCTCTTGGTGAGGTCACAAACCAGAGATAGGGAGGCGCTGACATCACTTACTCATGACTTTGAGGTGACGTCTCCAGAGAGGGTTTTTACATATTTAAGTAAACGGGGTAAGCAATGTGTGATATCGATGTAGAGTGATTTAAAAAAGTTGTATTTAAGCAGATTAAAATTCAACAAAACCTAGGCTAGTATACAAATCTGTAACAAAAATCCATGATGCATTTCAAATGTGCTCTTAAAATTACCTCCTTGCTATGAAACAGATCAGCAGACACGACATCTATTTCATTTATTGGTCTCTCCACGAAACAAAGGAATATTTCACGCAAACTATAAATAGCACCGCCTTCTGGACGTGCATCAATGATTCAGCGAAAGCCAACTGTGGACCGGTTTTGGTGTAGTGTCTCAACAGCATTCGGGCTTGCTTCAACAGATGGTTACAAATATGCAATGTTAATCAGCAAGGAGCATTTTTAGTCCTAGTTCGACAAAATCTATAAAAACAAAATTATAATTTGTGTTGTAGGAATATATCTCCTATCCATAACTTTTAAGTGGTATTCCTCGTAACTGATGAATGATGCGAATGATCCTTATTTCAAAGACAATGACTGCTCCAGAGGCAGATGCTTCCTGAATCACGAAAAATATCCTTAGCACACACTTTTGTCATCACATATTCCATGTTTGACCATTAGACAAAATGTTACCTGTATGCACAAAATTAGACAAGTATTAATTAAATTATAATTCTAAATCATCGATAGGCATATTGAAAAAATGTAATTACTGCACTGAAATGTACTTCATGTTATATCGTATGTACAAGAAGTTGATCTCTGTCTGGATGAGGCCAACACCTGTAGCACTCAGATTGAGGGCAACCAAGTGGTAGTGCATTCTCTTTTTGTTGCAGAGGTTCAAGGTTCAAGTCCGACAGGCATCTCTGGTTAGTCCAGGAACCTTCATTACAACTATGCACCGCCTGCTTAACAGTGGATGTAAAATGTACTATTGTGTCATTGAAAACGAGGCCATTGCATGCTGACGTCTTGGCTAAAGTTTGTCAAATTCGAAACATGACCTACAAATTGCACAACTGAGATTACACATCAGTTATTGCCCCCGACTGACAGACTCATGCCCACATGCAGGCTGATGCAGGACCACCTTATGCCACACAGGGGCAGCTCCCACTTGGGGGTGCTCATCGAGTGTTTTTTATGAGATATTATACAAAACTCCGAGTTGCTGAGGCAATTAAGCAAGCACCAAATATATGCCATTATTAAACATAGTGAATGCTTGGGAGCTTATTTTGCTCTGGCTCCTTGTTCGAGATCTACCCAACCCACAGGTCCACAAATACTTGCTGCTCTTACTCTGCAGGTTGAACCTAGGAATTGAGTGTTCAACTTCACATTGTTTCATTAAACGCCTGTGACAAAGGTAAATCTATTGGAGTTTCAGTGTCTCAAGCTTACATATCTACCAGGTCTCTATTTGACTTTGTATTGTCTAAGAAGTCCACCCACACCTCCACTTCCACAAACTGCTCGGAGTTGCCTTGCTCTGCCTCACAGTCAGAATTCTCCTCCTGCTTCACGTTGCCTCCATCGATGTGAAGGTCCGATTTTTTTGTTGAATCTTCATATTCACAGTTTACCTTCACTTCTTCATTCTTCACTTTCACTCCTTCACATTTCACCTTCACCTCTTCATATTTCACCTTGATACCTTTCAAAGTGTCCAAGCTGGGATTTTCATGTGGTTCTTGTTTTATAAGGGATGGGCTCATTGCAGCACTTTGACTTTCACAAGCCGATTTCAGACTCCACTCCTTGGGTCTCTTCTGATGCCTGTGTGTTCTTAGGTGTGTCTGAAGATGTGGTGACTGTGCAAACGCCTTCCCGCACAGTGTACACTTGAAGGGTTTCTCTCCCGTATGTGTTCTCTGGTGTATTTGAAGATATGTTGACCGTGCAAACACCTTCTCACAGAGAGTGCACTTGAAGGGTTTCTCTCCCGTGTGTGTTCTCTGGTGTAATACAAGAGGAGATGACTGTGAAAACGCCTTCCCACACACACTGCACTTGAAGGGTTTCTCTCCCGTGTGTGTTCTCTGGTGTGTTTGAAGATATGTTGCCTGCGCAAATGCCTTCTCACACACAGTGCACTTGAAGGGTTTCTCTCCTGTGTGTGTTCTATGGTGATTTTTAAGAACCGATAAATGTGAAAATGCCTTGTCACACACAGTGCACTTGAAGGGTTTCTCTCCTGTGTGAGTTCTCTGGTGCTGCATCAAATTTCCAGTACGATCCGTGCTGTATGCACACTGGTCGCATTGTTGCCTTTTTGTACCGAGCTGCGCTGAGTGCCTCTGCTCCATCAGACCAATTCTGCAGAGCAAGCGTCAGCTGCAGACAGAAAAAAAAGTATCCACAACATCTACGTCAGAATCGAGGCACAGAAGATTGCATATATACACAGTCACACATGACTTACACATCTATACTTATTCATATATTCATGAGAGTGAAAGAGATACCCCAATTCATCAAACGGGCTGTTAAGGCACACAAATGAGAGGTCAAATGGTCATAAATATGCCAGCAAGCCCTTGTATCTTCAAAATGAATGTTAACCCAAATTCCAAGCACACAATTTCGGCTGTCTGGCTACAAAATGAATATTTATAAAAGCAAAATTCAGCTAACATAGCAAAGGGTGTTGAAAATAATACTACTTGTATTATGCAGAAATGCATAAATTAATGTTCAATCACAACTTAGAGGTGTGAAGCCAGGCTCAGATTTGCTTGAATGCTTGGATTAACAGATCTAACTTCAGCAGCATATATGCTGTGATAATTTGCTATGTATTCTTAGAAAAAAGTTCCAGAGGAAAACAAAATTAACTATTGTTATGATTTATCCTCCGTGTTCAAAAGTTATATTTTACAGCAGTTTACAAACTTAACACTGTCACACACTGGCATGGTAAAAATGTGGCGGTGTGTCTGGAACCATTCCTGGTTGCCTTCATCTGCTCAGTATTAATGCTTCCTCACTTCACCATGTAATTAATTGAGGATCAATCAACATAGCAGAGGCCCACAATAAGTTCAGCTTTCACTTATCAATCGTGTTTGCTGTCAGTGATAATCAAACTCTAATTGATGAGCTCATAATGCAATTAAATAACTGTGCCAACACTCCCCACATAGATACATATACATTGCACATGGATCATTAACATCTTACCTATGTCATTTTTTGTCTGTGTGTGCGCACGCTTGTGAGGGATTTGGGTCTAAAACGGTGGAGTTGCTGTAAAAAAAGGCAGGTACCATGCCGTAAGCCCCCACGTGGGCAAGCGCTATCCTATTTCCCATCCGTCAACTTTAAAGCACTTTAATAAGCAGTTTCCGTTTATATATTTATTAAATAGCGCGCGATCGACCATACCAACTCACATGCCTTCGCTGGGGAGGACGGCCCCTACCAAGTGACACGCGTTTGGTGGGGGTGAGGGGGACATTATATTTTACGTGTTAAAAATTCAATCAAAACACACAATGCTTAAGGTTAATTCTTCACAGTATGATGTCCCCCCCCCCCCACCCCGATGCGTGCAGTTACTACTATAGAGCCTGTAGATATTCATATTATAGCGCTTAGATAGTATTATTGTACTCTTTGGTTCTTTCGGTAAAGTCACTTGACTTTCGGTAAAGTCACTTGACTTTACCGAAATAACTAAAGAGTATGGATCCTTGCAGTCACGAAAACTTTAAATCTAGTATTATTGTAGTGCGGGCGGGGGGATGGTGGGGGGGGTAGCGGCCCAGCCCCCAGCCTGCCAAGGTGCCACCTCGGCCAGCTGGCCAATCTAGGTGAGACCGGGGGCTCTGCATGGGACTTGGCCTCACCACGACAATGTTAAGTACAATTTTCTTGCTTCTTTCGCTAAACTCACATACATAGAAACCTATTATTTTAATAATCACCTTGGAAATATTAAAATCTTTTTGTTTGTGCTAATATTTCGAAATTTACTTGGTCAATATTAATATATTTAATATTGTATCTAAGTCCTTGTGTGCGTGAGAGCCCATGTGCATGTCTGCCACCATGTGTGTGTCTACGTTCGTGTGTGTGTGTGCGCGCGAGTCGATGTGTGTGTGCGTGAGTTGATATGTCTGTGTCAATCGATGTGTGTGTGTTAGTCAATGAGTGTGCATGGTGTGTGTACACAACTAATATGTAACTTCGGTTACTATTTTTTCTAAAAATAATGTGCGTCTAAGTCCATGTGTGCGTGCGAGTCCATTAGTGTGTGCGTGAGTCAATATGTGTGTGCCAGTCGATGTGTGTGTTAGTTAATGTGTGCGCGTGGTCTGTGTGTGTAGACTATTTTTTTATTTATTTAGTTAGCACATTTTCTATTATTTATGTGTCAAAGTCCATGTGTGCACGTGAGTCAATGTGCCTGTCTGCGTCGAAGTGTGTGCGAGTCGATGTATGTGTGTGTAAGTCCATGTGTATGTGTGAGTCGCTGTGTCTTTGTAAGTCGATATGTGCGTGTGTGTAAGTCCATGTGTGTGAGTCCATTAGTGCATGCGAGTCGATATGTGCGAGTTCGTCAATGTGTGTGTTAGTCAATATGTGTACGTGATATATGTGTGTGCGTGTAGACAACGAAGATTTTAAAATTAAGTTAGTACATCTTTTATATTTATGTGCGTCTGAGTCCATGTGTCCGTGTGATTTGATGTGCGTGTCTGCGTCGATGTGTGCGAGTCAATGTGTCTGCGTGTGAGTCGATATGTGTGTGTGTCAGTCGATGTGTGTTAGTCGATGCGTGTGCATGGCTCCATGTGAATAAGTCAATTTTTTCGTGTGTGTGTAGGTCCATGTGTTTGTGAGTCGATGTGTGTGTTTCAGGAAAGGGCAGTCCTGCACAGATGCCATATTTTCTGTCCGTCTGCTACAGCAGAGATATAGGGAATTCCAACAAGACCTACATCTCTGCTTTATTGACCTGGTCAAGGCCTATGAGACCATCAGTAGGCCTGGGCTCTGGGTTGTTCTTCGTGCTTTCGGAATCCCCGACCCTCTGCTCACGCTCATTAAGGACCTTCATGATGGTGAGCAGGCCCGGGTAAAATTACGTGGCCGGGAGTCAGAGCCATTCCCTGTACACCTTGGGGTGCGACAGGGATGTCCTCTGGCTCCCACATAATTTATTTTGACCACGTAGTTCGTGAAGTCTACGATAACTCTACGGGAGGAATTTCCATTTGGTACAGATACAATGGGAGGCTAATCTATGCCCAGGTGCGGTCAAGGGATGGCTCCCTATTGCTCAACCATGTTATGTATGCCGATGATCTGGTAATTGCTCACTCAGAGGAGAAGTTGGAAGCGCTGCCTCTGAACCTGGAGCTTGCCACCAAGAGGTGGGACCTTACCATCAGCCCAACCAAAACTAAGCACCTGCCTGGGTATTTTGTACCATCGGACACTCCACCCCCATAACTCCCAATTGGTGATAGGGCAGTTGTTGGGAGAGTGGAGAGTTTCCCATACCTGGGCAGTGTGCCCAGTTTAGCAGCAGAGGTCTCACTCCGAATCAGTTGAGCGGCATTATCTTTTCATCGGTTGCGTAATGCTGTGTGGAAGCTACCTGGTCTATCACTCCGCACGAAGCTTCAAGTCTTCTCGGCCACGGTCATTCCCTCCCTTCTCTACGCTTGCGAAATGTGGACCCCCATAATGGAACATCTTCGCCGGTTAGAAACATTTAGGCTGGCCTGTCGATGATCCATCCTGGGTTTAACCAGGCTGGATTGTGTGAGGAGCTCACAAATCCTTGAAAGATGTGGACAAAGTCCCATCGGTGAGCTCCTCCGGCAGGCAAGGCTGCGTTGGGTCATGTAGTCCGCATGCCCAGCCACCGCATGCCTAAACAGCTTTTGTTCGGCGGGATCGAGGGGGCTAAACAGGCGTGGCAAGGGCTAGAGAAGAGATGGAGTGATGTGGTACAGCAGGACGTGGAGCTGAGTGGACTTGCTGATGACTGGAACGAGCGGTGTCAAGATCGGCCTCTGTGGAGGAGGCTCGTGAAGGACGCTACTGGGCAGTTGGAGGTAGTCGCCCTCCAACAACAACGGAGGGCAGAGGAGCGACGCTCACAACAACGAGCGGAGCGCCGGGTGGCTGAAGCACAGCGGGTTGGCACAGTAGGGGGCACAGGTGGTGCATCATCCAGTCATCTCAGTCAGTCGACCCGTGGCACCTGGGTCTGCCCCGTGACCTCCTGCCAGCGGGCGTTCGACACTTCACGTGGCCTCGGGGTGAACATAGCCTGGCACAAGCGTCGTGGTGACGTCACCGCCACTTAGTGGCGAATGGCGGTTATTGTTGTTGTGTGTGAGTCTATGTATGTGTGTGAGTCGATGTTTGTGTGTATAAGTCGATGTGTGTGCGTGGGTCCATGTGTGTGTGTAAGTCCGTGTGTGTGTCCTAGTCGATATGTTTGTGTGTAAGTCCATATGTGCGTGTAGGTTGATGTGTGTGTGAGTCAATGTGTGTGTTGCTATGTGTGTACATCGATGTGTAACTCCATGTGTGTGTGTATCTAAAGTCGATGTCTGTGTGTGCGAGTCCATATGTGTGTAAGTCGATGTGTTTGTGTGTGTGGGTCAATGTCTGTAAGTGTGTGTAAGTCAATGTGTGTGTCTGTCTTTTTCACCCGGGCAACGCCGGGTACTTCCTGCTAGTTTTCTATAAAAAAATCAACCACCATTCATGACGAATTGGAAGTAACCTCATCAGTGCTCATGCCATGACAGGTGCAATTTAAGGCCATGTCAGTATGGATCACAGTAGGTCATGGGAATGGTCCAGGTGTCAAGGGATGACCGACAGATGCACCAGCTGTTGTCTCCACGTAACGGCGTTAGGTAAACGTCAACTAAAATTTACATCACAATTGAAATAAATACCGTACTGTATTCCAAATAAACTAAAAATTAAACAATTTAAGTAAACATTGGGAAACCGTAAACAAAAAAATATTCCAAGACAAAAAATAGGAAACATCGATATAATTAAAGTAGACTTTGCACGCGTACGTTTTTTGGGGAACCAAATTGTGCCAACACCATGAAACCTACACATTACACGCTTTCCATGCATACTTACGGGGTGAGTTAGTGTGTTTTTCGCTCTATTTTTATCTCACCTGCTCACCTTCAACACCTGTAACACCTGCACACTCAAACCCTCCCGC